CTTATTTAATTATCCTGCTTACTGACCACTACCTCCTCCTCTTGTATTTTACTTATTTACCCTCATTGACCTGATGGCAATTGAAATCTTCACCTTTTCATCACTGAAAGAGAAAGGGAAGGCCTAGATTTTCTCCTTTTACTCTGAACACTCTTACTAGATAATTTCATAATCAACTAATTGACAAAGCCAGGCAACTTTTATCTCTACAAACTTTTATCTCTCAAATGTGCCGGCTTTGCTCCATGTCTACTGCTAGCTACCACTTTAGTCTTACCATGTTTTTACTGATCTACTAAAACCGGCTCCTGAGTAATCTCCTATCAACTTCTGTTGTCTCTTTCTAATAAAATCACCCATTACAAGTCAATTTGTTCTTTTGAAAACTCAAATGTTCTCATGTCATTTGAAGGTTTAAAATCTTACTGTTGCTTCATGTGCTCCAGCACTGTAGCTTGCTAATCGGTGCTATGTTATAGGAAACAAGAAGAGGATGAGGGAGACAGAAAACACACACACACACACACACAGAGAGAGAGAGAGAGACAGAGAGAGAGAGAGGAGAGAGGGAGATAGAGGAGAAAGAGAGAGTTATCTTCTTATTCAAGTAGCTGCAAATATGTATTTTAGGCTTTTTAAAAAAATAATTTAGGCTTTTTTATTTGTTTGTTTCCTAACTAATACTTTTATCATTGCACTTATAGTCAAGAGCAAAAATTCTAATGTGGCTTCAAAGGTGCTGAATGAGCTGTCTGACTTCTGCCTACCTTCTAGTTCCCCTTTTTACCGCTCTTCCTTCCTTTCACCATATACTAACTCTTCTGGACTTCGTTCAGTTCTTCAAAGATGCTGAACTCCTTTCTGCTTGAGATCCTCACACCTTGTCTTTGCTCCTCTGACCCTATCTTATTAACAACTATTGGTTCTTCAGATTTTAACCCTGGGTCATCCATCTCAAGCAGTTTGTTCCCTACCACCACCACCACTACCACCGCCACTCTGTATAATTTTATCAGGTTTCATTGTTAAATGGTTTGATATCACTTTATTGTTGTCCTTTTTTGGTGAAATAATTTTACATTAAAAATATATATGAAGTATAAAATATTATTACAAATCATTATATACCCCCAATCCAGTTTAAGAAATACAATTATACTAATACCATTTAGTAAAGCATGGTGGTCAACTGGAGATTCTGTCTTCTAGCCTCTTGTGCAGCTGGTTGTAGTCCTGTGATTACATACAGTTTTACAGCAGTTGTACATTTTTCTAAACAGTATATTATTTAGTTTTACACATCTGTGAATATTGTTAAAATGTTGCCATTTTTTCTCTTTCATTTTTTGCTTTTGTACTCAGTATTATGTTTTTGAGATATTTCTGTGTTAATAGGAAGACACTATTTCATTCATTTCCCATTTATTTCCTATGTAAGTTCAGTTTGATGGAATTATGATATTCTTCTATGTCATTACTATGCCTGTATGCATTGTTTTATTTGTGGACATTTGGCTTATTTCTAGTTATACATACACACACACCCATATGTTATGTGTATATATACACATACTGATGTGTTTGTGGTTTGTGTAGATATGCAGATTAGAAATATTGCTGTCATGAATATTATAGTAAAGTAGAATGATTTTCAACTCAATCTTGCATGAGGGTTCAATTGTGACTAAATATTTGCACAGAAAACTTTTTTTCTTCCATTTAGAGTCAAGACTATCACAAATTATTCTTTGACCCTTCCCTTTGAGGGGACCTTTTCTAAGATTGTAAAACTGCTATCGTTTGATTTGGAAAATCTCAGTTATTAATTAGATTTCTCCACTGAGAAGGGAATTGGCTTATGGACGGTTGTGAATATCTAATCTGGTTCATTTTGTAGTTAGCATTGTAATTCCACTTGACATTTTGAAGCCAATTGATACTGTATAAGCAGTCTGTTGGCCATTCCTACCAAATTTCTGTAGAGATTGTCTGAAAACTCTGGCTGTTTTCAAGTTTAAATATATTTAAAATTACTCCTTGCTGGAGTAATAATTCCATTTTCAAATGTAATTGACAAAGATTCTATGTAGATCAAAAAATTTCACACACGAAGATATGATCTTAATTTTTAGCAGTAACCATGAAATGTGCTTTGTTCAGCCACAAGTTTTTAAAAAGTGTCCTTTTTGATATTATTCTGGGTGTTTTAAAATCTATTTTTAGTGATGCAAGTCTATAGTAATGTAGCAAATTTGATTTTCAATATTTTTTCAAGTATGCAGCAAAAGGTGAATGCTTTTTTTAAAAGTAACATTCAATTAGACTTTTGTGGTGAATCAAACACCCCATTTGCTGGTCATTAAAGCATCCCCGAGTGGTGTGGGAATTTTGGAGGTAGGGGTAATTAAAGTCCATGAAAGACTTGGGGTGAGGTCTCAGATGGGCAGGAATTATAATACCTGTTACTCTATGTGAAAGTTGATAAAAAGCAGCAGTCCGGAACACTAATTGAAGTCACTAAGGGACTTGGTTCTGTATGTGGAAAGAAGAGGGACTCGAGACCAATCTGACTTCACACACTGACTCTACTCCTGTTTCTAGATGTGTGACCATCTAATGTGTTATTAGACCTTCAGTTTTCTCATCTGTAAATGGCGAATAATAATACTTATTTCATAGGATACTTACGAGGATCAGTTTTAATAATAAATTTGGAAGATCTAGAACAGAGCCTGGCACACAGTAGGCATCAACAGCAGTCATATGGCTTCTATGACATAGCAACTAAACCAAATTTTTTTTATGAAGGAGAAATATCAAAGAGCTTTTATAATAGTAGAGAGATTTTATGATGAACTTAAATAAATAGATTGTAATGTTTTTATATTTTGCAATAATTGTAACATAGATACAATTTATTTAGGGTGAAATTTGATCAAATAATGACTAAATGTTTCTTAATGTAACATAACCACTTTATTTTTCTTGAACAGTAGCCCTTTAGAAAGAAAACAATATAGCTAGATCCTTACTTTGTTTTACTAAAATATAGTCCAATTGGATTAAAGATTTAAATGTTAAAACTTTTTAAAGTAAGGGCAAAATATATTGGAATAAACTTGCATATATTTTTGTGTGACAATAGTTTGGCTATGCAGGGCGTAATGTCTAGACACCAGAAATAGAAAGATAAGTCTGACTGAAACCAGTGGCAAATCCATATAAGTCTGCAGCAAACTCGATGCTTGCCTTCTTGGAGGAAAGAATTCAGCCAAGGGGCAGAAGTAGGTTTAAGGCAGAGGGAGAGAGCAAGGCAAGTTTTAAGATTGAGAGTTTATTTAAAATGCTTTAGAGCAGGAATGAAAGGAAGCAATGTACACTTGGAAGCAGGCCAAGCACGTGACTTGAGAGATCCAAGTTCTCTGTTCAGCCTTTGACTTGGGGTTTTACACATTAGCATGGTTTTAGGGTTTCCATTTCTCTTTTCTTGGCTCTTCTCTTGAGGTAGGCTGTCCACATGCACAGTGGCCTGCCAGCACTAGGGAGGGGCTGCATGCACAGTGTGTTTCCTGAAACTGTGCACATGTTCACTTGAGGTGCTTTCCCTTACCAGTAGTGCATTCCCAGAGGAAGGTTATGTACCAGTTAAACACCACCATTTTGCCTCTTAGTGCGCATGCTTGAGCCCACTCGTTCAACTCCTAACATCACCGGCTCAGGTGTTTTCTACCTATCGGGATACTGTCTTTCACTGGCACTGGCTGCAGCCAATTATCATTTCAGAGCGACAGTTTAGCAACCACTAGGCCATCAACTAATGTTTGCTTGACATTCCTGGGGAGATGGTCCTCTCCTGCACTGTTCATGTCTGACTAACTACCTACTGTAACATGACAACAGGTATTTTAGAATTTATAAACTGCGTAAATGAATTCCAAAGTCAAGAACAAATTGGGAACATTTTTGTTGGCAAATATGATGAGAAAATAGCCATTACTCTAGTATACAAAGAGCTACTGCAAATAAATTTAAAAACACTACTTCGATTTCAAAATTGACAAAACTGAATAGACCAGAAAAATCAATACAAACAAACAATAAATATTTAAAGCATGCTCATCCACACTCATGATTTTTATAATACAAATTAATATGGCATTTTTCAACTATCCAAATATTAGCCAATCCTCATTTAATAGTTTATAGTTTTGGCATGTGTGTGGTGAAGCAGGCACATCTATTCACTTGCTGGTACTGTAAATTGCTGGAATGAAATATGAAATATGTATACCAAAATTTAAAATGTACATACCTCTGCCAGTAATTTATTTACTTAATAAACTCAAAGCTGTATGCATTTAAGAATTTTCTTTGCAGGATTGGCCACACAGATTTTGACAAAAAAGTCTTAGGTAAATCTGAATCTTCAAGATAGAGAAACAGTAAAATTAATAAAATTAGTTATATCCTTAACATAGTGGGCTATTAGCCGTTTAAAAAAATAGGAGAGAACTATAATATGCAAATATTGAATGATTTGCAAGTATTTTAATGTGAAAAAAGTAATAACTAAACAATTTTTACTGTAAACATATATATATGCAGAGAAAAAATAATTATAAGTGTGGATATAGGGTACATATTAGAAATTTTTCTGGAAAGAATGTTTTTAAATGTTGAGAGTAGAATTAGCGATTTCAGTGTGGAATAGCAGGAAGGAAGGAATAATACCCATTAATGATTTCCTGAACTATTTGAAAGTTCTCCTCTGTTCATGTATGTTTTACTTTAATTTTTAAAAATTAATGCAGTCAATATGATGATAAAAATGTACAAATTATAAAGGACTAAAATTAAATTAAATGTCATTAGGATCCAGCAGATTATTTTAGGTATTGGAAAACATGTACAGTATGCTCTTGAAAGGGAACTGTCAAAACGACATTCTGGAGGTGAAATGATGCATGCATTTGTGTCTAATGAGCTTTATTTTCCCCCAGACAAAGTCAAAGGAAGATCAAGAGCAGGGACCCACTTTGACTCAGCCCGGAGACGGAGTCGAGCAGTCCTTTATCACATCTCTGGGCACCTGCAAAGAAGAGAAAAGAACAAATTGAAAATAAATAACGTAGGTGGTATGTGTGTACAGGACGAATGCTAGTGTTTCCCCTGGTGGCAATGTTTGACTCGTTAAAGAAAGGCCTCAATTACCCATTTACTGGCTTGCCTACATTTTTTTTTCCACTTTGGTTTGTGCTTTTCTATATAGAACAAACTGGAAAAGGTCAGCAGTCATGAGGCATTTCTATAATAAAAGTGCTTAATCATCGTGTTATCACAGCATAGAGATTAGAATATTATTGCAGTGAAGTAAATATGGTACTAGGGACACTGCAAATGGGGACACACTGGATACATTTTATGAAACAAAAATGATGCAGCAAGTCATATTACACATTCATAGTTTATTGCTTAAAATTTCTCAAATTTAATTTTAGTTCCATCGTTTTGCACATTATCTAGTTCTACAAATGCTTTTATCCAGGAGAAACATGACCAAATCAAAGCCATTACGCCACTAAAAAACTTTCATTATATATAAAACACAGTTGAAAATTTCACAGTAAAACACTGGATTTACAATTGCATACCATACATTAAACAATTTTGGAAAGTCACACTTTTAGTAAATTACAATAGAGTTGCTTTCTGAAATATGGTGTCTCTCTGTCAAAGCCACAACAAATAACTATGCCTGTATAAGGTGATTCTTTCCAATTTTACATGACATATATCCTCCAGGATTTCACACTGAATTTTGTAACTGGTTCTTAGCACTAAGAGACTTCACTGAGAAACCTAGAACAATATCTATTTAGTTGTAGATAGTCAGAGTTTTAAAATGATGTTAATGTCATTAATTTGCCTTATGGAATCATCAAAACATATATGGGGGGTTGTGTGACCATAGGTGGCAGATTAAATACCAGCATCTAACTTGCCAATGACAAGAAAAAGTCACATGAAATGACCAGATCTATTTTGGAATTGATTTAAGATCCAGAAGTTCTGGGAGTTAACGACAGAGGGGGGATCCTTTGACATTTTATTTTTAACATAGCAAGCTCAAGGACTACCTAATCTGACACACACATACACATGCTTTGATAAAACAGGACCATTCATCAGACATACAAAGTATTCATTTCTCTGATTGTAGTGAACAAAGAAAGATGTATGAACCCAGGGTGAGGAGCGAGATTTGACATGAAAGTGCTGCAAACCTGGCTCTACTTCAGTGCAACTTTCTGGAAGCCAAAACAAGATGTTTTGAATCATTTGTCCTCCCAGGACCATCAACCATGTCCGTGCTGGTCTGCCATGTACCACTGTGGAGGGTCACATTTTGATTTTTTTTTTTTTTTTTGGTCCTAATTCAATATAAAGGTTCTCTAGGGATACGTGTGCCCTAGTGTTATATTGATTTCCTGGGAATCCAGGGAGAGGCTTGAAACAGTACACACCACTTGATCTATGGATCCTTCCACTGGTGCCTATTTACATCCCCTTTCAGTTACCAAGTCAGCCTTAGTGACATAAGCAAGTTATAGGAAGAAACAAAGGTAACTACATCTGGGCTTGATTCCATGCAAACCAACCAGCAAAGCACCTAAACAAATATTATCCACAGATTCTGTAAGGCTGAAAGCTGACACTATCTAGCTTTTAGTGGAGAATTTAAACGTAGTAAGAATTAGTGCTTTAAAATGCATTTGCTGGGCATGCTATTTTTCCCTTTAGATTTAACAAAGTACAAAGCAGTACTTAAAAATATGATTTCAAAAAAAGTATAACTCCCATTACTTAGCTAATTTGCTTAATTGCCATTCATTTAAGAAATACAAACATCGGGGTAGAGTATTAAAATAATACATAGTAATTTAAGACGCCTAATCAGCACAGTGACTCTAATACTACAGGTAATACTACAGGTAATATCTAATACTACAGGTAATATCTTATTCCTGAAGCAAAGTATGGAATCAGGAATTGCCCCGTTCACCTGTTCACCATCTCCTTTCAGGAATAACAGAGTAGAATGGCTAAATGGCAGATAGAAGGAAGACAGAAGGGAGAAGAGGAAATGACTTGTATAGTTTATTAAATAAACAAATTTTCTGGAAATTCTGGCTGTAATAACATTTGCACACACAAAAAATAATTCTTAACATTTTATAGTCGTTTGCTATTTACAAATTCCTTTTACTTAAATCATATTATTTGATTCTCATAGAAGCCAGTACTAGGTCTGATTTTTATTAGTCCCATTTTAATGATGGAAAAAACTCAACTTATTAGAAGCAGCAGTTGTGGTACCCAATCTTTAATCTTCTAATTCAAAGCCACCGTGCTTCTGACTCTTACCTTGTTGTTTCTCAGATACAGTTCTGTGGAACAGGAATATATGCTTCAGCCATAGTCAAATGAACTCATCAGGTCATCAGCAGGTTTGGGAATCAAGATGCCATATATTTTAGTCTGGCTCTAACTTTGCCTGGTATACCTTGAAAAAGGTGTTTTCAAATTCTACCTTCCTTAATTTGTTATTCTGTCAATCAAATAAGAATGAGATGATGCAAATGTTTCCAACACGAAGAAATGTTAAAGATCACACTAGAGCCTTGGAAGCGTGAAAGGAGAGTGCTACAAATGCGTATTTCCGGCAGGGGACAGTGGTAATCATCAAAGGCATACACTGGCTTTAGATTACTCACTGAAGTGACTGTAGAAATATTTTCACATTCTCTTGCTCATTCAGATGATAGCTTCAAGGGAACTATTGCAAAAATAGTTTAGGAAACAATTAATTAGGCACTGGAGTTAACTATTTTGTTGGTGTCACAGTTTAGAGGTTAAACATCTAAAACACCATTGGTACTAAAGAAATATGATTGAAGATTAATAAATAAGATAAACCTAATGTCTAGAGTAGACAAACTCCATGTTTGACAGTTACAAATAACAGGTCGTCTTCCCTGCTTCCTGCTAAAAAGCATAATTTTACAACTGTGTAGAATTTTTCTTTACAATTTTAAGTATTTTTTTCATTTGAAAGGATTTTGATAAAACGTTACAAAAACTGGTGGAAGAAGAGGAGCATCTATTTTTTTTCACTCAGGTGATTATGTAAAGATGTTTGCAGGATTTGAGTTAACAACATTTCAAAATTTAAATCTAATCTCAAATGTATTGAATTCTCAGTATCTTTTAAAAATATTTTTAAAATATGTTCTAAGTAGCTTACAAAATGAAACCATGTGATTTATTTTCTGATTTGTACAGAAAAGTGATATATTGCTGAACTTTTGTGACAGAATCCCTAATGCTTCATTATCAGCATAATCAAAAACAAAAGCAAAAACTTCACTTTTTAGTTTTCCCAAATCATTACCCCTAGATATCGATGTTCCCTCAAGCAGTGTAAAATTTTAATTTCTGTAATATGATAGGAAAAATTTATGTGGATAGAAAATGAGATATTTCCCATGGCTTCTGATAACTCTTTATTGTAGTAAATATTCAGGGAAAATTTGGATTAGAATCAATCATGTTGTTATAACTACAAGTGTTTATCAATAGTGGGAAGATTAATGGTTACAGACCTCAATTCCCTCTTCCAATGTAACAGACTGAATTTTTATGAGAAACCCAACAGGGCTACTTCGTCTCCTCTTCTCTGTTTTATGCCAAAGTCTACCTTTGGAACTGGTTTCTTCAAACCAGAGAATGAGGCAAAGGAGATAGGATGAATATCAGGGAATTGTATGAGACATAGATGCAGTGGCAGATGGGCATCTAAGAACCATCTGGAAATAGTTTAACAGTGACCCACCACGAAGTGCTGACATTATGAGATGCCTGTGTGGGTTGAGTGAGAATATTAACAGGAAGTGGAAACATGGGTTGAAAATACCTACCAAAGAGAAATGCCAGACAGGGGTGCATTAATATCAAGGTAGCAAAACTATTCAATCACTGACAGTCAGCACTTAGAGCTAGATGTTCCTGATGTTTCTGAACCTTTCTTGAATCCTCAGGTACTTCAGGATCCCTGAACACTTCACATTAATCTGCCCTTCCCTCAATGAGTGAGACAAGAACACAACATAGTGACCTACAAGTAATATGTATTCTGGAATTTTTAACTGCTCTGTTAATTCAACTAAACTTTCAAATATAAGTTTCCATTACCTATCTTGGATTTCTCATTAATTGAGGTCAAAGCAAGGTCTGCAAGTATCTGGTCACAGGCTTGTCAAATTTCCACACATGCTATTGTTGGGCCTCCCTTTGTCTTCTAGCAACAAGGGAATTGTTCATCAATTTGAACTGCATTCAAAGTGAAGTCCTTTTGCAGTTATCAAAAACTCCAGCTATTCTGCATTTAGTCAACTGCACAGTGAACACTGGCTTTCTCCTCCCCTGACTTGAATAATAACTCTTAAGTAACTGTTTCTTACTTTACCATCTGAACAATGTCTGGTGCATGTCAGACTGCATCTGTGTCTATCAAGGTAATGAGGTTTGGGTTCCCAACTTCACCAACAGCCACAATGCAAAAAATGAAAGTAGTTAGCATGACTTAGCTATATTTGGAAAGAAATGTAAACTGTTTACAATATATTATTGGTCATATATCTATTCTTTTTGGAAAGAAAGATACCATTGCTGTCATGAGTAAAATATCAGGTCAAATGTAGTCTTTAGATAATGACTGTCATCAGAAATCTATAAGTATACAGAATGTTCCCATGACAATAGGAATGTAAATATAGCTTTGTGTTTATAATGTGTGTAGGATTACATGTAACTGTGAATGTTTTTTGATGACATCTTAGGTAATGGTCTTTTTTATTTTTTAATGAACAAAATCTGGGTTACTCACTTAGCTTCATGACTAAACTCTGCATATTCCTGTTCCTTATAACAAAGATCTCTGCTCAGTTTTAAATGTTTAGATGTTTTGCATCACCAACTTTTAAAAGTCACTTGTAAGATATTGCATTGTGTAGTGAATGATCCTTCTCACAAAAGTGTATGTTTCAAACTATGTAATCCTTGTTTCTAATGTTGTGTTTCTCCTTTCTCTCCTTTTGGTCTTCATCCACAGAATGTTTTTGTAGATAAACCAGCATTTCCGGAGTATAAAGTTTCTGATGCAAAAAAGTCCAAATTCATACTTTTGCATTTTAGCACTTTTAAAGCTGGCTGGGACTGGCTTATTTTGTTGGCAACGTTTTATGTTGCTGTGACTGTACCTTACAACGTTTGCTTTATTGGCAATGACGACCTATCCACAACTCGGAGCACAACTGTCAGTGACATTGCAGTGGAGATCCTTTTTATTATAGGTAAGAACAAACAGCTGCTTTCCTAGGATATTTGCATATGGGAAGTGAAGTGTGTTCCAGATTTTTCTGACATGAATTTGAACTAAGATCCATTTGCATGGGCGTGATTCAGCCTCTGATGCAAATTTTGGAGAAGCGCATACTGTATTTGGATTTCTGAAAATTGCCTCTTCCAACTTTTCCTGTTCCTTTATTCAAACAGATCTAAACTGATCTCCTGTGTTTCTATACTTATTTCATCCAAAATGGGCTAAAAAAGATTTAACAGCTGTTTTGTTTGTGTTCTCACATCCTTCATGATCTTAAACTTGTAGGGTCAGAGATGGGATTTGGCAAAAACCCACCAGTGGTGTTGTGACAGTGGTCCACTCCTTGACGTGGTTCTTTCTCCATGCCCTTCCGTGCCCTTTCAGCACGTTGATGGTTTCAGTAGGTGACCTGGTTGCAGAAACAAAGCATTACATAAGCCTTGCAGTAAATCTGGAGAAGCAGTGAGTATCTGATTTTAATTAAAGAAAAGGCCCCAAAGGATGTTTGTTAAGAGAATTTATCCCTAGAATATTGGGTACCTCAGTTGAAGCTGCATCTGTGCCAATTTTGTAAGCCTTTTCCTATTTTCCTGTCCTTTAAATCTTCATCTTGTTTAGACCAAAGCCTAGCTTTAGCTTGCTCATTCTAGGACAGATTCCGGGTCTTTAAGTCCCTGACTTAAAGTCAACAGGGACTTAAACTTAACTTAAAGTCTGTTAAGTCAACAGATTGACTCCCTGTTGAATTATTGACTGTCATTAGCAGCTGATACCTGCTTCTTTCCTTGGTCATGTTGATAGAGGGCTATATTCTTACTGTAAAGATGAGAGAATGTTTGAAAACATTACCATGCAGGTAGGTGAACACAGGAGTAAGAAATGGATCTTAAAATTTCAAAGAAAAATAAATAAATAAGTGAGGCACATCAAAACCTTGGTTCAATGGTGGTGGTAGTTGTTTGGTTTTTTTTTTGGTTGTTTTTTTCTCAGTGAAGCTGTTACATCTTTGAGTTTAGAGTGAGTTTTCTTGTTGAATGTCAGCACGTTTGCTTTGGATGAGTTTGTGTGCTCTTGGTATGGCTTGCCATCATTATTAACATTGTATCTACTGGGCACATCCTTCAGAGCCTTGATAGGACCCCTGCTGTCACCCCAGAAGTGGTAGCTGTAGTGTGTTTAGGCCACTAGATGGCAATGTTGTCTAGTTAGGCAGATGGCAAATTTATTTTTAATTTTTTTAATTTTAAAATATAGCTATCCTTTATTAGAAAGTTGTAACCATAAAGGGATCTATTAAATAATGGTTAAATGGAAAATAACATTCCAGTTTGAACAAAAATTTAAAATGAAAATGGTAGACAAATTGGGTGTGTCTATGGTTTTGTATCCTTTTACTTTGCCAACATTTGACGTCTCCTTCCACCCACCCATGATGCACACATAAATTAACATCCTAAAAACACTCTCCATGACCTGGTCAAAATTCTCAAGAATTTGGGCAGTCACTCAACATGTCTAAGCCTTCATTTTTTGTAGTAACGATTGCATAGGGTTTCATGAAATAATAGATATAAGTATCTGCTTAACAAATATTTCATCATCTTATTATTGTTATTTACAACTTTGCTATTAGGTTAAGTTATATCTTGAACTTTCCTTTCCATTCTTCCTGGTTCTTAGATATTTGAAATTCTTTGGCCTTAGAAGCCACTTCTGTTACTGTGTGTTCATTAACAGACGATGACTTATTTACTCCCATAAAAACTCATACTTTTGATGGAGATATTTTAAAAGTTTTTGTTTATTTCGTTTTAAGGCTGCTTTTCTCTACTAAACCAATGGAGACTCTTTTGCTCCCCTGATAGCAACCCCTAAATTCTTCTGTGTTTTTTATTACTGTCATTTCTACTGTTCTTCAGGCAGCAAGATGGTTCTCCCAGTAGGCAATATCCATCCCTTACTAGCTACATGACAAAGGAATGAAAACCCATTCCAATTTTTTTGCAGTTTACTTTCTGCAAAGATTCATTTAGGATTTGAAATTTTGGTCTGCAAGCAGTTCTAGTGTGACTCCTGCCTGAAATCCCTTGTTGATGGACTTATTTTTATAAGCAGTAAAAACTTTCCTGTTCTTTCCTGGTGTTATCTGCTTGCTCTTTCTTTTGAATGAGTTTAAGCATATCTACAATTATAGCATATTTAGAAAAATGACTTAAATTAATATTTCTCTGTTTCCCCCAAACCTTTATTCTATAAAATATTTCAAAAAGGTGGCCTAAAAGTGATCATTGACAAATAAGTTAAAATACTGGGGACAAAATAGTTGCCTGTAATATTGTATCTTTACAATGTGAAGGTAGTGTTCATACCATTTAATATTTGTTAAATTACTGCAGACTTAAACTTCCCTGTCTGACAGCTTTGAAGAGAGTAATCCTTCTCCTAGCATGGAGTTTGAGATCTGAGAATGAACAGACTGCCTCCTCAAGTGGGTCCCTGATCCCAGAGTAGCCTAAATGGGAGATACCTCCCAGTAGGGGCTGACTGACACCTCATATTGCCAGGTGCCCCTCTGAGACGAAGCTTCCAGAGGAAGGATCAAGCAGAAACATTTGCCGTTCTTCAATATTTGTGTTCTGCAGCCTCTGCTGGTGATATCCAGGCAAACAGGATCTGGAGTGGACCGCCAGAAAACTCCAACAGGCCTGCAGCTTAGGGTCCTGACTGTTAGAAGGAAAACTAACAAACAGAAAGGACATCCACACCAAAACCCCATCTGTACATCACCATCGTCAAACACCAAAGGTAGATAAAACCACAAAGATGGGGAAAAAACAGAGCAGAAAAGTTGAAAATTCTAAAAAATCAGAGCATCTCTTCTCCTCCAAAGGAATGCAACTCCTTGCCAGCAATGGAACAAAACTGAATGGAGAATGACTTTGACAAGTTGAGAGAAGAAGGCTTCAGACGATTGGTAATAACAAACTTCTCTGAGCTAAAGGAGGATGTTCAAACCAATTGCAAAGCCAATAGAAAACCTTGAAAAACGATTAGATGAATGGCTAACTAGAATAAACAGCTTAGAGAAGACCATAAATGACCTGATGGAGCTGAAACCATGGCACAGGGACTATGTGCTGCATGCACAAGCTTGCAGTAGTTGATTCAATCAACTGGAAGAAAGTGTATCAGTGATTGAAGATCAGATGAATGAAATGATGCAAGAAGAGAAGTTTAGAGAAAAAAGAGGTAAAAGAAATGAACAAAGCCTCCAAGAAAGATGGGACTGTATGAAAAGACCAAATCTATGCCTGATTGGTGTACCTGGAAGTAACGAGGAGAATGGAACCAAGCTGGAAAACGCTCTTCAGGGTATTATCCAGGAGAACTTCCCCAACGTAGCAAGGCAGGCCAACATTCAAATTTATGAAATACAGAGAATGCCTACAAAGATACTCCTCAAGAAGAGCAACTCCAAGACACATAATTATCAGATTCACCAAATATGAAATGAAGAAAAAAACGTTAAGGGCAGCCAGAGAGAAAGGTAGGGTTACCCACAAAAGGAAGCCCATCAGACTAACAGCAGACCTCTCGGCAGAAACACTACAGGCCAGAAGAGAGTGGGGGCCAATATTTAATATTCTTAAACAAAAAATTTTGCAACCCAGAATTGCATATCCAGCCAAACTAAGCTTCATCAGTGAAGGAGAAATAAAATCATTTACAGACAAGCAAATGCTGAGAGATTTTGTCACCACCAGGCCTGCCTTACAAGAGCTCCTGAAGGAAGCACTAAAAACATGGAAAGGAACAACTGGAACCAGCCACTGCAAACACATGCCAAATTGTAAAGACCATCA